AATGCGGAGAGGATAATACTCACGATTACTACTACTTTTCGAAGTACTGGTTAGCAAGTTCACTTATAAAGTTTACGAACCAAAACCAAAGCTGGAACTTTTTGAAACAGAACAACTTTCCAAAATACTGGGACCACAAAATGTCTCAGTACTACACAACAGCAATCGAAACATTAGGCAAAAACGGGTCCTTTTTAACATCCTCCCAAAATTAAAAAAAAAAAATTATTTAGAAGTGGCAAAAAACAAAAAGACAGTTGTGCCAGCAGAACTTTTCTGGAACGGTTCAACAAAAACAACAATGCCGTAGACCCAAATTTGGAAAAAAAATTTTACCTCATACGGACCAACACAAAATATCTACTTTCGACTTCTACACAACAGTCTACCTTCTGCGGCCTTGCTAGTCAAAAGCACAAGGCAACAGATTGTATAAATGCAAAACTTGCAGTAAAATCTAGGACAACATCCACATTTTTGCTCACTGTCCTCCTATTGAAATATGGGAGTATTTTAAACATGTATATAACTCCTTGACATACCAAAAATACTTCTCTCCGATATATTTGATCTTCTCAATTGGGATAGCAAATTTTTCGGAGGAGAACCTGTCGCTGGAATTTTGGTCCGCGAAAATTTTTATCCCGGACTAATATTTTCGTTGAAATTTTTGGTCCGGCCGGATAAATTTTTGCAATAATTTTGGTCCACCTTGAAGAAAATGATCCGTAATAATATTTCAAAAATTTCGCAGTTTTGAAAACGGACCAAAATTTTTGGTCGGTGTAAATCAATTTTTGATTTTTTAACTTAAATTTATAAATTGATAACAAATTTAGACATATTAAGTGTAAAATAGTAAAATGGATATGATCATAGTTTTTTAACAAGTTGTTAAATCTTTCTTTAGGTTTTATGAAATCAATTTCTTCAAAGAATAATGGTTGGCTCATTCATACTCTATGATCTTGTATAGCTTTTTCATATTTAATAGATAAAATTTGCATATATGATGCATAGACCGCATAGATGCATAGACCCGGCATAGTCACATCTTATTATACTTCTCGATTTGAAGGGCTTTGAATGTCTGCTTGCATGAAACCCGCGTCCAGGAATAACTTTATGACTGCACTATCATTATTGTAAAACTTGATCTGATGTTTAAATTTGTCTGGAAGATCAAAACAAACAGTAATGGTCTTAAAACCGAACAGGTATGTCGGTTTTAAGATCATTACTATTTGTAATGGCCTTGTAATGTAATGGAACATTGCAACAAAAATGTTACCAGCAACGTACGTTAGGGTCGTTGGTGGCAACATTTTTCCAATGGCATATTCTCTGGTTATGACTGTCTGTTATCTTCCTAATAGCCATGCTTTGATCCATGCGCAAAGTTCCTCATTAATTTCATAGCTTTGGACTTTGTCATAGGATTTTGTTAAGTTTGTAAGATAACGTCTATATGTGTACCTGAAATAATTCAGCGCACCATTATTGAAAAAATTGAGTATTTTTTTGGGCGTTTTGCCATTCAATATCCATATCCTAATGTTTACTAAAAAAGCAAGAAATTATTTTAATTTATGCCCACAGTTAAATGTAATTAATTTATGTATCATGCTTTTATTTATACTAAAATAAAAGTAAAAATAGTTATGTTCGTTTATTTGATATGGTAACATCAAATAAACATAACATATGGTAAAATATTTAAACAATAGTCAACAGGTAAAAATATTTATTCTAATAAATGTCAATGCTATCCACATGTCAAAGTAGCCCCAAGTTATCTCAGACCTTTCTCAGCTTTACTCTACACATGACACTAGTAGCGGACTGGCTGTGTATATATTACCGGCCATAAAAATAATTGAAGAGCTCTCCCGACTATACGTATATCGCAATGACTGCCCGGTCCGCAATTTTAAAAAAATAAGTCCTAAGAGAAACAATTAAATCACAGAGTAATAAAATTAGATTGAATTAAAAAAGTACAAGTGATGAGCAATTTTCACAGTGCAAAGTATAGCAATAACTATTCTTAATAACAGTTTGCACAATTCAGAGGACGAAGATGCATATCTTTGAAAGATCGTATCGTACTCAAGGCTATCAAGTAGACTTTTTTCATCATATACAACTCTAAGTGGTCATTCGATATTGCGAATTTCGCAATCTTATCTTGATTAACTTTATATTAGAAAACGATCTTTCACCTTTGGTTTGTGTTACAAAATTAGTATATATTTTTTTATAATTATGATACAAATTGTCATAGGTTTTGTCGTTGAGTCTATATGCAGCAAGAAATCGCAACACATAAGATCGACACGATCCACATGCTTTATTAGTATTTTTATAACAACGCGGTTAATCTGGATCATCCTTTTGATCTGCATTCTCTCTCAATGTTGTCGTTAATGGCAAAGATAATTTCAAAATCTCATAGTTAATTACAAATGACAACAGTTTGGCCTTTATTTTATCAACATCGGCATCTGGTAAAAATTTGATAATGCTGGGTTAACTGTTGTATCAAAACATGCCATGTCCATATATAATTGTCAATGTGAAGTGAAACGTGACTCAAGACTTTGGACTACCTGATCCATCACCGCGTTGTGGGAATTCTGTAGGGTTCCAAAGCTTTATATTTGTCATGTATGATCATCTAATATCATTTGTGTCTTCCGCTTCCGTTTAACAGCTAGTTCTGTCTTCACCTCTAATATGGTTTCAGTTTTCTGGATGATGCTTGCGTTAGCTATCCGTACAAATTGAAGAGCGTTATTATGAACATCATCAAAAAATCTTGATTGACTTTTCAATTCAATTGCAGCCTTATCCACCATCTTAAATGCAACCAACACAATTAATCCGCGAGTTGCAGGTATATTGAAAGTGATCCCATTTTTTCAAAAATGTGCAGGTATATAAAGACTATCAAATTTCAGGAATGGCATGAGGAATGTCTTAGCTTCATGACGTGTTTTTGCATCAAAATTTTTTGATTCGCTTATAAATGACGGACAAAAAATTAAATTGACAAACACTGTTGAAGACGGCGCAGCAAATGTTCCAAATATCGCCGTTGCAGCATTTGATTTACCCAACCACCTTGTTTGACCAATCAATTTCAATCTTTTTATCTTATCCATTCCAATTTGTGTTTCAACAAGTTTAATCCAAGACGCCATTCGCTTATATGACACTTTTATGAATGTTGAAACAATTTGCTAAAGGTTAAAAAATGAAACTGCCTGAATGCAGCAACTGATTGCCTCCTTCACAACTAAGTTGAGAACATGAGCATAACATCAAATATGTACACGGCGGTCTGCAGCTTCTGTAATCTTTTATTACAGTCCGTTGTACTGGCCATGATAACTTGAAGCACCATAAGTGGTGTCCGATAGGCAGTATTGCAAATTAAAGCCAAGACGCTGTAGCGTCAAATTTAAGAGATCGAACATGCTTTGTCCAGTACCGTCAGTGTTTGGTACAATAGAAAGCAGCCGTTCTTGCACAGTAGCATCTAAAACAAACGACAATTGGTCAATTGCAGATATATCTTGTGTAGAATCAACTCGTACGGAGTACGCTTTTGCTTTGGACAATCTGTTCCTGCATCATATTTTTCATAATATTGAGAAGCTCTCATATAGTAGTCTTACATGAAAACGTATCCAGAGCACCACGACCTTTACTGTTGGCTTTACCTTGACGTTTCAGTTTTTCTATTCTTTTGATTAATATCTCTTGACACATGGAGAGATGAGAAGCTAAAAGAGGGTCATATTTGGCCAAGAGCTGTACCAAAGCCAAATTTCCATGATTTTCTTCATCATGAGGTGCTTTAAGCTGACTGAGACAAAAAGTTTTATTTATGTGTAACATAAACATTTATGCTTATAAACATTAATTTTTTCAAAATTTACAGGCCAATGTTCAAAACATATAAGTGTATTTGCTTTCAGGAAAGTTGCTTCTTGGCCACTTTCTACTTTCTTCTGGATCTTTTGGCAATCTGTAAACAGCACACTTTTTATCTGTGAAATAATTAGTAGAGCGATTCGCAACACTTTTCACTTTAAAGGCATAATAAGCCTCAAGAAATATTTTTTCTTCTAATTTTAAGCAACGATAATAACCGGTAAATTTTTCTTAGTTAATTGGCTTCCAGTTATTTTTACAGTTTGCACGATTAATAGGCCTGTGTTTTAGATAGCCGTGAATCTATTCATTAAACTTGGTTTCTCTAATCTTGTAATCTATTCATTAAACTTGTATCGATAAATGCGCTTAGCAAATAGATTAAGGGGATCTTGTAAGCAAGCAATCACACAACTTTAAATTTTCTACACATAATTTTATTAAAATTGTATTTTATTTAGACAGCCTAACTTTTTTACTTCCGTTTTTAAACCTTTATGTACTACATTCAAATCATTTTGAACATATTTAAAATCTAAAAATATATTAAGCAAATAATTAAAATATTATCATCTTAAGTTTAACAAAAAGTATTATTACACGGCAGTTTCAAATTGATACTTATTGGAACTTTATTCTGAGCATGCGTAGTGAACAGTTGTAAAACATCAGAAAATCGATGCTTTTTTGTATAATTATTTTCTTAAGCTCAGCTACTCTAACTTGAATTTTTTTATGTTTAATATTTCAAACTTTTTGTAAAACGTAGCGATTTGCTTTAGAGTTGGCAGATACATTTTTATATTTTAAATTTTGTTGTTGAAATTATGATTTTTAACGAAAACTTCTAAATCGAAAGGTGATATTTTTTCTTGAAATGTTCTGTTTTTTAATCAGCTATATTACAATAAAATGAATTTTCTGTAGCTGAAACTAAGTTGTTTTGTTTTCTTCATTTTATTGATCTCTTTTTAAAGTTGATTCTAGAGACCGGTAATTTTTTTTTAAGGCACATTTTTTATTTATCTGACATAACTGCTTTATTTAGAAATCTTTTAAAC